AAAAATAAATAAATAAATAAATAAATACTGTAGGTGCGTGAATTCAGCAAATAATCCAGTATAGTCCAGGAGTCCACAGTGGTAGTGGGTTAGCCGTAGGACTGGCAGTGGCAGAAGTTGTGAAAATATGGAGCGCGTCATGAATTTGTGTGTTGTCCTTGCACAGGGGCCGTGCTGGTCTTCTCTGTATCATCCCAATTTTAGCGAGCACTGCTGTTAGGTTCTCAGAAATTTCATATTTTGGCATAATCATTTTCAAAATGATAAAATGATCCTTTGCATAATATCTCTTGCAGGGAAGGAGAAGTTAATATGATGTTTCAAATAAATATAATTCAAAAACTGTCTGTAACACAAAGGTATAAATAATTTGACATACTCAGTGTTTTATTTAGATATTCCTCTCCTATAATTCTAATGTACATTAAACTATTTAAACTGTAATTTTTATTTTATTTGTTGAGTGTCTTCCTTTTAAGGTGAAGTCAATTCAAATTGAAGAAATACGTTCAAGTCTAAACAGAATATGTTATTCCAAGTATCCAGCTTTTATTCTTACTCAGAATAACTTATTGCAGTTAAAAATTATAGACTCATAGAATATTGATGTTCAAATTCCCTTTAAAATATGTCATTTAGAATCAGTTTTACAGCGAGACATCTGAGAATCTTGTTGCTTAAGTGACTCACCCAAGATTCTATGGCTAGTAGGAAATGAACTTCTAATCTAAGACAAACCTTTTGCCTCCCAAAGCAGGACTCCTCTGTTTGATCACACTCCTTCCCTAAGGCTAATATAGATTCAATCAAGAGATACTAACCATGACCATCTGTTATAGCATGTGAATGTAAATGTCTCTCCTGCAGAAAGCCTTGGAGGGCCCTAAACAGGAAGTGTGGGGAGTGTTGGCGAGCCCTGGGTTTGGCCTGGTGGCACTAACCCATGATGTCAATGTCATTGCCAGAGACAGTCACTCCCACCATCCTCTCATATGCCTGTGAGACTAAGGCTGGGGCTTGGGCCAGAAGGTCCTGTGTCAAAGGTGAAATGCCAGAACACAGACCCTGTGCCAAAGAAGTCATGGGGAAAATCAGGAATTGCTCTGTGAATCTCAACTCACTCTTATATCAGTCTAGAAGCTAAAATGGCAATCTCCAGAAATATAAAAATGGATTTTCAAAAAATAGGGATTCTCACTTATCTAGCTATTCTGCTTCTAAGAACTATCTTAAGAAAAATATCTCTAAGGAAAAAGAATACCTTCAAGCATACACTCAAAGCAAGAATTTAAGAAGTGTATTGTGAGCAAACTATTTTCTGATTCATTCAACAAATTTGAGTTCCAGTTTTATAGGAAAAACACAATACTTATGAGTATAAGAGCAGTGTGTAATTTTCATGTAAGACATATGGAAAATACAATCTGCTTTCTAGAAAAAAGTCACAGTCCATTTCAATGTGGCTATTAACATTTGTAATGGTATAAAGATTCTAAGTCTAAATATATATATAGATGCCTCCATAGATTAAATGCCTCTATATATTAAATATAGATAGATAGATAGATAGATAGATAGATAGATAGATAGATAGCTCTATAGATTAAGTGCCTCTCTAGATTAAAATCCCAGGAAAAAGAGTCAATGGTTGAACAACTGCATTGGGCCTGTAAGCCAGTGATAATTTAAAAAATTATCTTTGAAAAAAAATTTCAATAATAAAAAATCACATGGATTCCCATCAAATACATTAATGTAGTTAATAAAGATAAATGGTATTAAAATGTTTATACATCTAGAAACCTAATGTTAAGAAAAATGAAACACAAATGAGGAAAGAAAATGAACTAAGCACTGTTCAAAATCATAGAGAACGAAGACAATCACTTTTACACCAGTGTACTCTGAAAGCAGTGCAGGCCAAGCAGCCAGTTTCCTGGAGAATTTGTAGGACCAAAACTTTGAGCCTTGTTTGTGCATTCTTATTATGCAGTGAGATATTGTAACCTCTTCACGTGCCATGTCTTTTCTAAGTGTTCTGTCATAAAGGTATTAGAAATTAAAATTGCCCATCTTGGTCACAAACAGACATGTGTGATAGTATAAAATTTTGTAACTTCAACACATTATTTACAAAAATCTGTCTTAATTTGGCCACATCTCTTAAAAATGAAATTCGATCCCAGATCACTTAGCATTTTTGTGATTGTAAGTTCTGCATCTGTTAGAAAACCAAAGTTGAAATTCTAGTGTTTCCAAACTTAAAGCAAACCCTACTTTTTAGCTATGATCAACTGATGTTAAATTTAAAAGCAAATGTATTTATCTTGAAGACTTTGATGAAGTGTACCAGTTTCCAAATTCTATGAAGTCGTTTCTTGTTTTATTTAATCTGGTGAAGAACAAAGGCTTGCTTAAAGTAGATATGGAAACTCAGTTTTGAAGCAAAAGGAACAATAAATCTAAAACTGAAAAAGGACTATGGAAACTTCAATAACTTTTATTTAACCATTATTATGTTTTCCATATTTCTCTTGGTTAGTTCTTGCATGTGTCTCCAATTCTATTTGTCTTATAAGCTATACTGCCTTTTCTATTGTGGTAAAACCCATAACAGATTTGTCATCTTACATAAACATTTTACGTAGTGCTGTAGTTAAGGCTGTGTGTTTATTTCATAACAAATCTCTGGGGCATTTTCATCTTGTAAAACTGAAGGGCTGCTCCATAAAAGAATGGCTTCTTTTTCCTGTGACCTCAAGTTATTTGCAACCATTATTTGACTTTCTGTTTCTAAGATTCTAACCATGTTAGATACTTTATGCATGTGGAATCATGGAGTATTTGTCTTTGTGTGCTGGTGCGTTTCTGTGTATTTGTGTGTGTAACACACACTTCAGGAGCCATAGGGCCCTTCAGTTCACCCATGATGTAGCATGGAACAGGATGCCTTTTTTATAGTTGAATAATATTCTACAGTATATTTATTTCACTTTTTGGTAGTTGTGAATAAAGCTTGGTGGATGTGGGTATGCCAATATCTCGTCAAGATTTTATTTATTTATTTATTTATTTTTCAGAACCGGAGATTGAACTCAGGTCCTTGTGCTTGCCAGGCAAGCGATTACTCTACTGAGCCATCTCCCTGGCCAAGATTTTATTTTTAATTATTTTGTACATATAACCAGAAGTGGGATTTTCTTAATATATGGCAATTTTTTATGTTTTTCAGAAACTTCCAATACTTTATTTCAAAGACGCTTCATCCATTTGCCTTCTACAGTTTGTACATGGGTTCCATTGTCTATGCATTCTTGCAGCCCAGTTTTTTTGTTGTTATTGTATTTTTTTTTGTGTGTGTGTGTGTTTTAAATAGTAGCCACCTTAATGGGTATGAAAGAATACCTCATTGTGGTTTTCAATTGCATTTCCCTAATGTTTCAGTGATTATCTGGTTATCTTTTCTTGTATTTGTTGGCCTTTGGAGTATCTTCTTTGGTAAATTACTAGGTATATACTAGGTTTTAATTTGATGATCTGGAGATTTTGGCTATTGTTGAGTTGTAAGAGTCCTTTCTATATTCTGGATATCTCTTTGTTAGGTATGCACACATTTGCCCATTTATAGTTTGTCTATGCTTTTTTCCTTTCCTGCACAAAAGATTTTTTATTTCTGCTTTTTTTAAAAAAACTTTGATGTAATTACATTTGTCTATTTTGGCCTTAGTTTTCTGTCCTTTTGACATCATATCAAAATGTGATGGAGAAAGTCTCTTTAAGAAAACAGTTTAGGACTGGCCAGAGAGCTCAGCGGATTAAAGCGCCTGTTTAGGCAGACACAGGGACTGGGGTTCGCTCCCCAGCATGCTGTGCCGGTCCTGCTCCAGGAGTGCGCTGAGACAGTGATTTAGATTGGGCATGATGGTGCGCATCTGTAATCCCAGTGCTGGGGAGGCTGAAAACAGGAGGATCACTACAAGTCCAATCTGTGTAGTGAGACCCTGTAGTAAATACATTAAAAAAAAAAAAAGTTTAGCTTTTTATCTTCTTTCATTTCTGTAACAGTTGCTATCTGGCTATCCTTTTTATAATGCAAAGCGAGAACTTTCCTTACCATATTTGATAGATTTTGTCCATGTCCCATTGCCTAGAATGTGTTGTCTGAAATACATTTAGTTTTTAAAGGTGGAACTCCACCCTTTACTTGGTCTTAAGTATGTATTGAACATTGTGATAAGACATAACAGTGGTGGTGGGGAGACAAAAATATACATGTGATGGGCCCAGGGAGATAGCTCAGTAGAATAAGCACTTGCCTGGCAAGCGCAGGGTCCTGAGTTCAATCTCTGGTACTGCAAAAAGAAAAAAAGAAAAAAATATATATACACACACACACACACACATAAAATAATCTTAGTAGTTTAATAAAGTAATAGTTATTACTTGTTTAACATTTAAAAAAAAAGTAATTGTTCCATCCAACATCACAAAGCTTTCTCCTGACCTTTCATCTAGGAGTGTTCTTGCTTCAAGGCCCTGCACTTTTGAGTTGCTCAGCACAAGGTGCAGGCCTGGCAGTGTCCACCCCTGACAACACCCTCTGTCAGAGGCTTGCCTTCCTCGTGGTGTAGCAGTAGCACCTTTTCAAAGATAATGTAGCCACGTAGCTATGGCTTTCTTAGTCTCTGGCCATCCTTGGCTCTTTTGGTCCACAACTCTGTCTTCACACCAGCATTACGCTTTTGGTTATTATACTATTGCTTTATGAAGAATTTAGAATATGTTCTCAAAACTGGGAAATTTTATTTTTTCTTAGAATTATTTGGGCTATTTGGAAATCATTTGAGATTTTATGTGAATTTTAAGATGTTTTTCATACTCCTACAAAAAGATAGTTTAGATTTACAAAAGGGTTGCATTGATCGGTGGATTGCTTTGGGTGCTGAAGACATTTCAGCTATACTGACTTTCTATTCATGCATACAGGGATGTTTTTCATTTCTTTGTGTCTTTGGTAATTCATTTCATCAATATTTTATAGTTTGCTATCTGTAAAACTTTTTTCTCTTTAATTCTGTTTCTTCATAGATACTTTATTCTTTGTTAGGCGTTACATGGAATTTTTCTCAGATTCTTCTGTTCCTTTGAATTGCTCGAAGTATATAGATGCACACATCAGATTTTTATGTATTGATTTTGTGTCTTGCTGGCTTGAAGAATTTCTTCAGCAGT